ACAACAACACCAATGACCACTTATACAGAATTAATTATAGAATATATTAAAGATCCAGATATGAGATTATTTTTCAGCGAAGACTTTACACAGTATTCTCTTAAATATGCAGTAGAAAACTTGCAATTGAATGTCACACATGAAAGAAGAAACATACTACTTGGGGTAAGTGATTCAAAAAGTCGATTAATTCTGAAATCTATGGAATTACTCAAATTACAAATACAAATATTAACATGGTTTATGTGAGAAATTGTGAAAACAAAAATTGGCTTATTACCAATCAACCAAAGGCAGAACATATCAAGAATATGACTAAAAGTAAAGATGATGATAAAGACAGTGATCATGGTTATGATTCACCTACAAAGTCCATTTCAAGTAATAAAGAACATCATTGTACCGAAGTTTCTGATGTCGTGAAAGATACAATAGAAATAGAAGAAGAATTAGAATCAATTGTCGAAGAAAGCACAGATACTAATATTTTTGATGATAATTTTGATGATATCAAAGAAGAAATTGAGGTTAAGGAAGATATTTTTGATGTAGACGTATCAAAGGTCAAACAAGAAGATGAGGAAGTTGACATGAATAAAACAAATTCATTCAATTGTAGTGAGATACAAAATGTAAATGTTACAGATGAAGATTTATGTAGTCAAAATTCTAATGACTCTCATTCTGATTTATTCTTCAACCCAGATACCTTTGACAGATATGAGGTCATACGAAAATTAGTACTAGAATGTTGCAAAAAGTACAAAATAAGAATTCCTAAAGAGTATGATACTAAAGAGCCTAAAAAAAGGAAATCAACCTTAAAAGATAAAACTGATGAAAGAAGTGCTAAGAAACGTCGGTTATCCAATTCAAAGAAAATTAGCAAATCTAAAATCTCAACAGCAAGAGATGAAGTAAATGAGCTTATTGAAGCATATTACCAGAACATCAAACATGACATTCTTCTGCAAATATCTGACCAAGTAAAAGCTGCTATAACAAACAATGATACACTTCGTCCACAAAATATTACAGAACCTCCAGAAGATGGTCTTTCAGCAATGCCAAATGACATATTCATTGATAATGTTGATATTAATGAAACTCGTGGAAGCGTTGCTGATAATGAAACTTTAGGTCAGAGCAGTAATATTGAATTTATAGATGAAAATGATTTAGATGAAGATGAAAATAGCGGCGACCCCAAATTCTATGAGAAAGAATACGATATTGAACAGCTTTATCTTAAAATTGATGGTGGAAATGATTCAGACGATCCATTCGATGTTACAGACGATCCTGTAATTTGCGAAATTTTAAACAGGAAAATAAAAGAAATAGAAAACACCGATATTATAGATACAATAATTGAAGAGAAAGAAGAAAGCGAGGAGCAACTGAAGTTGACGCGGCAGGAAAAGTCAACAGTACCATTAAATGTCGTAAGACAAGAAAAACTCATGTTAAATAATAATAAAAAAATGTTTGAATCCACAGAATTAGAGCCATTAGTAAAAAATCACACACAAATAAAAGAGTTTAAGTATTGGATTAGGAATTATGCATCTCATAGACTGACTAAAACGCATGATATAAATGAGAAATTTCATAAAGAGCTAGACAAGAATTTTCCAAAAAGTTTTTATTTCGTTATAAGAGAGTGTGCAACGATGCTGGAAATCACACCATATCAGCTTTACAAAGCAATGGTGAACTTGGAAAATCGTTTAATGGCATATTAATAAGGCTAAGAACTTTTAAGAGGCGAGATTTCCACCCGCGCCCGCCGCGGTTGTTTGTGACACCTGCGGCGTTCTTTGTCTTATTGTTAAGAGGGGAGGCAGGGAAAGGTTTTTTCCATACAAACGTTCTCGACTGATTCCTCTTTGATTTTTATCACTAAAGAATAAATTTTCATACATAAAATATAAATTTATTCATTCTATGCTCCTACGTCTTCCTTTTTTCGATAATTTGTTTTTCAAGACAAATAGAAGCCCTCAAAATGCCAAAAAAATGTAGTCAATTTTTTGGTCACCATAAAATACGTCCAAGGTGGAGATTCAATAAGCATTTACAACAAAAGTAAAACATAGAGGCCTAATATACCTATTAATTATTCTATGGGTAAAATTTCTTTTGGCAACCCTGCGCGGAGCGTACTCGCGCGCGGCTACACACATCGTGGTATCACACCTTTAGCCTAAAGGACTCATGCAGGAAGTCTCAACCACCGAGGCACAAAAGAACAGTAATGTAATAAAGAAATAAAGAATACACAATAAATAAGAATAATCGTGATCATACAACCCTTGTGGATTTCCATTTCACTAGGTTACAAAAAAAATAGTGATATGTTTATGTTATTGTTTTATATTTTGTTAACAACATTTTAAACGAACGTGGTGTACATATGTTACGCTCAAAGATCGAAAACGCTCAGTAAGCGGAAAAATAGCTCACAACGCGTTGTGGTCACAGTAAAACATCCACATCGCGAAATTCGTGTTATGGCTCTAATGAAAACGCGCACGACGCGTTGTGGCAATCACAGAAAGACCAAATAGCGAAATTCGTGTCGTGGCTGACATGCTATTCGATCTCAACGCGTTGTGGCAATGAAGAAAAGCCATGACGCGTTCTGAGCATTCATTGTTTTAACCATATCACGACGGATAAAAGAAGGCTCAACTGTTAACTCGAAAAGCAAGTCTTTCTCAATCCTAGGTACTGCACCTGACTAGACTATTTTAATGGATACGTATGAAAAGCATTATAAAATACCAGAGGATATTGGTGTTTCGTCAACCAGGCCGGACATATTCCTCATTTCTAGGCACATCAAACATATAGTACTAATAGAGCTAACTGTACCGTGGGAAACTAACATTCCAAAAGACTGCACAATATAATTGTATACATATTACGATCTAACCAATGAACTTACTAAAAATGGCTGTCTAGTTAATTTATATGTGGTAGAAGTAGGAGTGAGAGGTAGGCAAAATTTCTCTATAATCTTCTAAAGAGGCCTGTCGAGAACTGCTGTAAGTTCAATTTTGGGACAAGTAAATAAGGCTGCACTAACAGGCTCCTATTAAATTTGCCACCCCAGCAGTGAAGGTGAGCGTTGATGCGCATCTTAAAGGGGGCCTCTTTAAACTTACACCTGGGTCGCAAGTCCCGGGAACTGCTTAGAGTTTCTCTCTCTCCCACTCGATGGACCCGGCACCCGCACACACACAAATATAACGATCTAACCGAGCGTCCGCTCCGGGGGGAGTTCATATCACAGCAGAAGAAACAGAACAGTACCCCTAGCACGAACCATTATCGAATTCGAATAGTTTGCGAGTGCGAAATGTCAATGTCAAATTTTCTATGGAAACTTGAACAGCAGCGCCACAAAGTACGAGAACTAAAACTTAGTACACATTTGACAATGACATTTCCGACTCGCAAACTATTCGAAATCGATATTGGTTCTTGCTAAGGGTACCTACTGCGCTGTGACGGGAGACCCTCCCCGCGGCCTAGCGTAGCGCTGATCAATGAAATAATATGAAAGTGCACGCGTAGTGGACGTCCGATTCTCAGACAAAATAAAAAGTATTTGGTCTGAGGTCCGATTTGGACCGTTGCGTTGAGTACTAGAGTCTGTGCGGAAAGAGAATGGGCGTGGCGAAAAACGGAACTAACAATAAGATTTTTAAACAGCAGTTCAACCCAGACATTTGTCAAATGTCGAAGTTTTGTATTGATACGGATTTGATTGTTGTAGTGATTTCTTGCGGTTTTTTGTATTTAATCATGTCTAAAAAGGATAAAACCCTACAAATACGGCAGAAGAGCACTACTGCGCCCTCAAATCAAAATCCCATTCTCTTTCCGCATAGACTCTAACATAATATAAGTATCTACTAACATATTTGGGATCATGTTGTCCTTATTTGAACATTAAATAAATAAATGTGACGTTGAATATAAAATATTAAATGAATATATAAATTCACTTAAAATTTTTGATATTTAAGTACCTACATTAAATTACATTACACGACATTTTAATTAAATGACTTTAAATGTAGAACATTATTTAATTACATATATTCGGTTCGGTTTGACATTTGGTTTAGATTACTTTTTATTTTATTTATAATACAATTTAAATTTTTATAAACACATTGATTAAATCCCAAAAATAATATATACTAACATAGCATTTAAGTTAAATATTGTTACTTACGATTTAATAGACTATGTTCTTGTCTGTGATCAGACCCCCTTTTTTTTCTAGTGGGCACTTTGGGCAAGTGCCCAGTGCCCCGCGATCGATAGGGGGCCCCCTCAGATTAAATACAAAGTCCCTAAAGTGGAACTTTTTATTAGCTGCAGTAAAATGACGTTTTGTGGGTTACCGCTTTTTGAAGAAAAATAAATAGGGATGTAGCTAAGTGAGTAAGTGAATCATTCAATAAATGAATGATCAGTTTGGTTTTGTTTTAGAGATTTATTATTAAGTTGTAATGTATTTTTTTATTCTATTAATATTACTATAGTATAGGATTGATCTTTATCAGTGGAAGTATAGGGACGTATATCCAAAATGAAACAAAAATATCATAACAATATTATTTAAATACTATTATTATTTTTCAATCATTTTCGGAATCACTATAGCTTTCGCTTTCGGTCACACTAATGACAGTCTTTTATTTATATGAATAATAAATAGAATTAAGTATGAACATTATGAGTTAGTTATGAAACGATTAAATTTTCTGTGAACCTAATCACATCCCTATATATAATTAGACGGATAACATTATTTTACGGAATGACATTTTGAAACGTCATTTTACTGCAGCTAATAAAATGTCGAAGTATAGTTCCTGTTAAATCACCAAACGGGGGTCATAGGGGCCCCATTATCCCAATATGCCCAGGGCCTCCAATAGCTCAAAGACGGCACTGTCTCTAATAATACATTTTTGAAGGTACTTCTTCCGCGTGACGACGAGTTGGGACTACGGATGGCAACAGAAGCAGTCGCGCATGCGCGCGCGCGACGTAAACCGCGGCCGCTGCGCCATCCTGCGCGACACCTTCTATCGCAAGAACAACCTCGCGCCCGACCCGCCGCACTACGCGCAGCCCGCCGGCGGACAAGTCTCCATATGCAGTGAATACGCGTGCAATGCTACCTAGCCCCGTCCCCCACGACAACGGCTAACTAGAGCCGAGGTCCGAGTCTCAGAGACGCCCTCTAGTTGAGCCGACCCCCTCAGCTTCGAGTGGTCTAGACGCTCCAGACGGAGGAGGAAAACTACACTCCCGGACACCTAATTCGAACCACCTTGATTTTTTTGGTTTGGAGTACTGTAACTTCTAAAAGATGTATGTAGAAGGAAAATGTTTTTATGCAGTTTTGGAGCTCATCATTCATTTAGAGTGCCACTGTTCTAAATTTGAATTATAGTTTATTAAAAAAGTCGAGTTACGTTGAAACAAGTCTATATTTGCTTTTTTTCAAGGAAAAAAAAATCTAATCGATTTTAAAAATCGATTTAAAAATCAGAAAATCGATAAAGACATGTTTTACATGAAAAGAAATGTTTATTTAGTAACTTGTATTGTGCCTCCCAGTGCATTTATGACAGCTCTCATACGGTTTGGCATAGAATTAATCAATGTCGTTATGACATGTTGAGGAATTTCCTCCCATTCTTCCAAAATTACATTTTTGAGCTCCTGCATGGTTTGCGGGGCAGGATGATGAGCTCGAACACGCCTCATCAGCTCATCCCATAGATGCTCTATAGGATTCATATCAGGCCTTCGCGCTGGTCATCTCATAACAGTGATACCAATTTCATTTAGTACTCCCTGACGATTCCCGCAGTATGGGCCCTTATCATGCACTAAAACGAAATCTTGGCCAATAAATCCAGCATATGGCATTACGTGGTTCTCTAAACATTGGCGAATGTATCTATTGCCATCTAGAGGCGGCAGTCGTTGTCCCATCACTAACTCTAGCTCAGTTTTGCCTTCTATAGAGATTCCTCCCCAGACTGTCCATGATCCTGCACCATAACTCACTTTCTCGTCAATACAGCATTGCGCGAAACGCTCGTTCTGTCTTCGGTACACCTTACTCCTTCCGTCATTACCGTAAAGCATTATCTTGGACTCGATCTGTGAAGAGAACCTGGCTCCATTGATGTCGAGTCCAATTGAGATGTTCGCGCGCAAACTCTAGACGGGCTATTCGATGTGCTCGTGTCAATTTGGGTCCATTGGCTGGCTTATGGGGCTTTAAACCACGTTCATTGAGTCGCCTTCTAACGGTCCGAGCACTTACAGCCACTCCGTGAAAGTCCCTGAGCTGTTCTTGTATCTGAACAGAGTTAAGACATCGATTTCGTAAGCTAGTAGTGACAATGTATTGATCTTGTCTCGTCGTTGTCACTCGGTAACGAGGTCCTCCTGTTCGCCGAACGATGCCGCCAGTCTCCAGGTATCGGTGGTACACTCTTTGAACTGCGGAACGACTTATGTGAAGTTGTGAAATCACATCTCGCTGACTTAGCCCAGATTGAAGAAGTGGTAGCACTTCACTACAAGCTGTAGAGCTTGCGCGGCTACTTCAGGTGAAGTATCCATAATTTTATAGGCAAAAACGGTTCAAATTATAGAAAAATAACTAAACTAAACTTTGGTTTACAACAATTGCGAAAATTCAAACCAAATAGACATTAAATTGCTTCAAAAACAACTTTCAACAGTCATTTATTTTTTTCAAATCAGTGACCAAGCTCGGCTTTTGTTCTTTATTTTAAATTCAAAGGACAATGGGCAAAACGCACCCAGCTCCGCCAACAATGTAATTAGTATGAATCGATAGATCTATGAAAAACTAGCCTTTTTTATTATGACACCGTAAAAAAATATCCTGGGAGTCAAAAGATATACATATGGGCATGTTCTATATTAGGGGTTAAGGTTTCCGCACATAGACCTTAAAGAAAACCATCAGTCGTGTGTAAGTCATGGCGGCCGGTTGCACACATGGGCATTATTAAATAGCTAAATAAATTCATTCAAAATCAATAGTACTTTCGTTACATAATATTAGCCATAATAATGTGAGTCATATCTTACTATACAACCAGATACAAAATACTATACAGCAAAGCCTACCGAACATCCTGCTTGCTTACTGCTTGCACTTACCGAGACGCCTCAAAACGTTTAACAGGGTAAGGGTATGGGGGTTGAAGGATGTGATATTTGCAGTTGCCGTTCCAACTAGTCTACTCGTATGCAGTTATATGTCTTACTTTTTGTGCGCTCCCTGTTACTTCATTGATATTTAACTAACACGCTTTGGAAATAGGAACACGATTATCATCACGTACGTCATTATAATCGTACGAGCCAATAAAAAAATCTATGGATCTATTTAAATGCATTTCTGCATATATGCATTCATTCAGCCAATGTCAAGTAAAAGAAGGATCTTTTACTTGACATTGGCTGAATGAAATAACCGTGCTTGCGATGCTTGCCAAAAAAAATCTGTGGCTTTTGCGAGCAAAAATAGATTCGAGGCATACGAGGTCTAAGCTCTATTACTCCTATATATTGATAAATGAAGACGAAAATGGAATAAATGCATTAAAACATTATTACTTATTTTATTCATTATGCTCATGCTAAACGGGAAACTGCACTTTAGGCTGCTGTGCTCATGTTATGGTGGTCATATGGTTTTTATGTCTGGCAAGACATGACGAGGATATTCACAGACCGGCTCTCTTCTTAGACACTGTGGATGAAGATTATTAAAAATATTTGAAATGAAATAATGTTTCATGATTAATTCCTTTTTTTACACTCACCGATTAGCCTTGCCCCAAAGTAAGCACTGTAAGGCTTGTGTTATGGGATGCTAGGGTAACGAATAGAATACATATGCAGTACATATATAAGAATATTGATATAGAAATACATATTAAACATCCATGACTGGAGTACAAATGCTCGTACTCATCACACAAACATCTGCCCTCACCAGGATTTGAATCCGGGGCCTCTCGAGTCGGCGACACCATGATACCATTACATGATGCCGGCGTACATACCATTCCACCACGGAGATCATCAAATAATATATCTGTCCTATATAATCGTCCTTGTATCATTAATATATATTATGTTCGTTTACCTATGAACTTATACCTATTTAACTTAAAATAACTAAAGACCCCCGGGATAGAATTTGATGCGCTTTGGCACAGATGATTATGACTATAATACCTTTCAAACAAATGTAGTTTAAACCGTGGCGGACGTGGGTGCAGCGTCCATACAATTTTGCCCATTGTCCTTTGGAATAATACATACGGGAAAGACGATGAAATATGCCAGCATTAAAAATGCATAAAAACTTTTTAGTTATATTGTATATTTTTTGTGTATTGGGCTTGCAAAGCAAGGTGCAAGATATTAAACAAAATGGTAACCTTTTTTGATGTGTAACGTCTTTCCTGCAATTTGTGGGAGTAATTTCGTGAAATGGATGTAACAGGAAGTCGCAAAAGAGCGCGTGATTTGATTTTAGAACAATGTTCAAATGGCTTATTCCTTTTTTAGTAGGTTTTATTTCTTTTTTTACTATTAAAAGGTGAGGTTTCAAATGTTACACATCATACGCGACTACTGAAAGGCTCGCTCGTTTTTTTTTTTATTTAGGTCTATCTTTATTTACTCACAATATTTATTGGCGGGTCAGCAGAACACATGAACACAAAGAAGCATGTTTAACCGCTCGAGAGCTTGGTGACCTGTACACATTAAAATACTTCTTATATAAAAAAAAATTTGGCGATCAGTTAAGCATTTGGTTGAAAAAAAAAATAAAGGGCTCTTAAGGTACAAGTCCGAACTGAACCGCGGACCACAGGCCGCAGCTGCAGACAGCAGGCGACACTACTAGTTTCTATGAATCTCTATGAAATTGATTCCGAGCGCGGCGACATGCCGCGGCTGCACGATGCATATAATGCACGGTCAGCCGCAGTCGCTAGCCGCAGGCAGTGTCGCCTGCGGTTGCCTCCTGCAGCCCATTGCGGAATTGTACCTTTATGCTATTATCGTCAGACGATCCGATAACGGAATAATAATAACCTTATTATAGCAAAAAACATATATTTTATAATTTCATTATTTACAATAGTTCAACTTTTATTTACATATTAACAACAGTAAGTGTACCCCTAACTTTAAGGCCACATCTAACTGTTTTAATGGGAATTATTAAAAATAAATGTATACAGAATCATAACTGTTTCAATTTTGCTTTATACTGTTGACCAAGCGAGACTCGACTCAGGTGAACAGTATTACATGCTTCAACGGATGAATGTATGATTCTCTATAGGAAGCAATATTCACTATGCTACCTTTAAGTAAGTATATAAAAATATGAACATGGAAAGTTGTAACAATGGTTGAGACTAAAATATTAAATTAAATCAATTTGTATTCATCCATTGAAACACGATAAATAAATCAATCAATACTCAAATGCTACATTAAAATTAATTAACCAGCAAATCGTCAACAACATTCGCTCAATCCTAACAAGTTGCTAAGAAAAAATTATCATAAAAAATAATAATAAATATGAGACGTGCTTTGTTCTTTCTCAAGTTTTTATTTGACACAAATATGTACAATTTATCAGTCCTTAAATTGTGGTACCATTTATACCTGAAAATTCGCTTACATGTTATTGTGCAAAATAAGACAATTATGTTTCGTTCATTCTCGTTTGGCGTCATGTCTTGCCTCTCGATATTTAAATAAAAGCAAACACATCTTACATACTGCCGCAACACAAACAATTCACAGTTTACATTAATGCAGGTGGAAATAAAATTTAAAACGTATTAAATAAATTTCCAAATTATTTAAAATCATATTTTAGTTTGACAATACATGTTCAAAACAATTAATTTAAATACACGATAAAGTAACCATTACTTCGTTATTTCAAGTTGTCTATTAACTAAACAAAATAAGAAGAACAGTTATATTTATATTGTGAAGTTACAAGTTGAATATTTATATTTTATTTTAACATTGTATCATGTTGTCATTATGGTTTACGCCTATAAAATGATTTAATGATAATGATCAATGAGTGAGATCACATGAATACACGAATATATAAAAGTACATAGAGACAAGGTTGCCTGCCATCAGAATACTGCTGCGTAAAATTATGAGCATCATAAATGACAAATTAATATTAAACAATATACGTGAATACAAACAACCTATGTCGAAAAGCTTATTGCGATTATCACAAGTAGCCGAAACTAACTGATTTGCCTACTGAAGCACAGAGGAGCTCGAGAAATCTAGGTCAATCATTCTATGACCATCATCTATTCAAGTTGCTCAATCTTTGGAAAATATTGTAAGATTTATATTAACATGGTCACAATACGTTCAATTCTTTAAGCATTGATCGAACACCGATACAAAATAAATACACACTGAGACGCAATTACATAGAAACGCACTTACACGCAGTCGCGAATCACCTTAAAATCAACGACATCCTTCCGAAATCCTCGCAAATCGCAACTGTGCGTCTGTATACGTGTGGCAGTTTTACCTGTTACTATACTCTGTTCACGGAATCGGTAGGAACCATATAAAAGCATTCGTTACGATCCATATTTCGATTTAATTTACTAATTCTAGGGGGAGAGGGGGAGGGGGGTGATTTACGGTTTGCACAAGTAAAAGGCCCAGGGCACAAGATTTTTAAAATACGCCCTGATTGCATTGCTGTCGTCAATCCGGCCAAAGACGTTTCTCGTTTGCTGCATTGTAAGCGATTGTGTGAAAAAGAAAGCGCTCCACTAAATCGTCTCCGTAACAAAGTATAGTACTAATCTGTCTTACTTTGTGAACACCTTTCACAAAGAACAATAAAATGCTTTTAATATCGTTTTTTTATTTCATAACTCCAAGTTTTAAGAGCTGATGGCAAGCAAACTCCTCTATTATTAATTTATTATTCAAGAAAATTTCCATAGAAACGTTGCCGAGACAGACGCCCACAGAGACACAACTAGTCTGATATGATATTATTGTCATAACATTTATACAAATATATTCAACTTAATCAACATTCAAACAATGGAAATATGGAAGGGGTTATTTTCATACTCACACTGCACTCCTTTCGAGGAAATGAAAGGAAACAATATTGGGAATCAGAGAAAATTTATATCAAAAACCGCTAACCCTGTCAATAGTAAACAAAGAATAGGCTTGAAGTATGTAATATTTTCACATAACTCGAATCGACATTTACAATTCAGTAGACCAGCTATACTCTAAGTGTGTTCCGCGGAACCCTAGGGTTCCGTGATACCTCTGTCGGGGTTCCGCAAGAATTTAGAAATAAAAAAATCAAAACACCTCTCTCTGGTCGCTCCGCGGCTGTGCGGACTCCGCGGCCGCGCGGAGACAAAACGCTATGAATGTTATTTATTTATTTATTTGTATTTGTATAAGCTTGTGTTACATTAGCTGGTACAATATCTCATAAGTTTGGTCTCAACAATTTTATACTTGTACAACGCGTTCGCTCTAAGTTTGCCGGTCTGTGGAATGCGCGTACCCTCCCCCACGTGACAACAAAACTTATAATGTGTCATAGTTTTACCCAAATATCTAACGTACACAATTTTTATTGTTACAGTTAAATAAAAAATTTCGAACGTCATACACTCATACCTATCGCCAGCGGCAAACTTAAAACGAGCGGGTAGTATACTTGTAAGCGCTCAGTCTCTTTGATAAAAGCCGCCTCTGAATTAGACGCTATAGTTGTCAACTAGCGACTTTCGTCTCTAACTTCAAAGGATAAAGTCGATATTGTTTACAACGCTATTTTTAAATTTCTGTTTTTATTTTTGCTTTTTGTTTATCAAAGGTGCCGACTCGAGTATTTTCGAGAATATTTGAGATCGAGTCTAGGACTAAGTATAAAAGCGGCGATCGCGCGTTGGCGTCGTCAGTTGATGATTAGCGTTCGGAGCGATAAGTTACTACCTACTTACAAGCTCGCTAGCGAGAAACTGGTGTTCATTGTTTTACTGCCTGCTGTATTCTGTTGTCTCAGTTTTATACATTTCTTCCCTGTAGGTTCTAAATTTAGTCTCTTATACGCAGTAACGATTGTGCATTATTTAAACCCCACTATCCTGACTTGTAACATTATAAATAAAGAAGAATGGAACGTTGGCTTAAAGGTGTTAAACGTGTTCCAACAACATCTTCTAATGACGCTGAATGTTCAAAAGCAATGCGCGCGGAGAATTTAGCAATCACCGATCCAGAAGATGATGCCACGAGTGCCACGACGTCAAGCTCGACGGTTTCAAAGACGAAAAAAAGGAAGTATGATGAATCTTATATCAGTTTCGGATTTGTTGATTCCAACGGCTCACCTCTCTGCATGCTCTGTAGTAAACTGCTTCCTAATAGTTCCATGGCACCTGCCAAATTGCGTCGACATTTAGAAACCGTACACCCCGAGACTAAAGACAAGAATAAAGAATTTTTTGTTCGCAAAAAAGATCAGTTATTAGAAAGTCAAAAAAATATGATGCATGTAACACAAACTACCAACGAAAAGGCCACGGAGGCATCATACTTAGTTAGCTATCGCATTGCACAAGCAGGTGAAGCGCACACTATCGCTGAGAAATTAATAAAACCATGTGTATAGACATAACAAAATGTATGCTTGATGAAAAATCTGCAAAGCATCTTTCTACTGTTCCGCTATCAAACGATACTGTTTCACGACGAATCCATGATCTGGCAAGCTACGTCAAACAAGAACTAGTTACACGTCTACAAAATACACGATTCGCTTTGCAAATGGACGAGTCGACTGATGTCGCTGGTTTGGCTATCCTGCTGGTTATTGTGAGATATCCATATAAAAGTTCTTTTGAAGAAGACATGCTTATGTGTTCATCGCTGCTTACAAACACTACCGGGGAAGAAATTTTTAATAAAATAAATATATTTTTTGAAGAACATAATCTCAGTTGGAACAATTGCATTGACATTTGTACAGATGGGGCCAAGGCGATGACAGGTAAAACAGCAGGAGCAGTGTCACGAATGAAAAATAAAGCGCCTAATTGTAGTTCCAGTCATTGTATTCTGCATAGACAAGCACTTGCGATGAAGCAAATGCCGTCTAATCTAAAATTAGTTATGGATGAAGCGGTAAAAATAATTAATTTTATCAAATCACGACCACTACAATCCCGATTGTTCTCATTATTGTGTGAAGATTATGGCAGCAAACATAAAACACTGCTGCTCCATACAGAAGTGCGATGGCTGTCTCGGGGAAAAACTTTAACAAGGCTATTTGAACTTAGAGCCGAGTTACAAATGTTTCTTTCAGCAGATACTTCTTTTAATTTGAAGGACCGTTTGTATGATAAAACTTGGTTGTTCCGATTGTCTTTTATGGCGGATATCTTTCAAAAACTTAACGAATTAAATTTATCATTGCAAGGTAAACAGACAACAGTGTTTCAGGCCTATAATAAAATAACTACTTTTAAAAGAAAATTAGATTTTTGGATCATTTGCATTGGTAAGAAAGAAATAGAAAGTTTTACGTTACTCACTGAGTTTGTTAGCGAAAACGACTCAGAAATGTTTGAAGATAATGTGTTTGAAGAATTGGTCCAATATCTCAGTTCGATGCGCGCATCTTTTGAAAAGTATTTTCCCGAAGAACACAATACAAAAATTAAAGTGAACTCCTGGATTCATAATCCTTTTTTACCCAACTTGGAAAAGCCTGAAAACATGTCAAATGAGATATATGAATCTCTTTTAGAAATGTCATCAGACACAAGTATGGAGTCATTGTTCAAAACGACGCCTCTTAATGATTTTTGGTGCAGAATCCAAGATGAATATGCAATGCTTGGCCAAATGGCTCTGGATATTCTTCTCCCGTTCCCAACTACATATTTGTGCGAAACAGGATTCTCTACCTACGCAGCCACGAAAACAAAATATCGCAATAGACTGGACGCCGAAGCTGATATGAGACTCCAACTTTCTTCCATCAAACCTGATATCAAGCAATTGATGAAAAATAAAAAACAGTTTCATACCTCCCACTAGTTCGATTTTTTCTTTTTTAATGTTTTCTATTATTGTCCTTACCAAGTGGTGAAGTAAATAATAATTAGTAACGGATACATTGTACTTTTATTATGCTGATTAATATAGAATACACTTATAAAAATAATTGTTTTATTGTAGGGTTCCATCAAGTATTTTGCTTCCCAAAAGGGTTCCGTCATTTAAAAAGTTTGAGAACCACTGCAGTAGACAAACTAAACACTGAATAAGTAACACCAGCCTAAACCATGCTTATTGATAAGGGGGCAAGCGTTTGCTTTGATGAAACCAAATTACAATGAGGAATTTCTGGAATGGCGAGCGCTAGGTGGCAGAATTGACACGAATTGTCTAGACATAGTCTATGGATCAGTTTAAATGCTCGTTCGGTTAATTCGCGCCAAAAAACTTAATACAAAAGACCTCGTGTCACAGTGTCGCCAACTGGTTGCGCTAATGTTCCTAAACACCCTTATTAAGACATAATAAAACAATAAATTGCTATTTACAGTGAAGATTAATACCCAGAACTGTGTCCTCTCATTTCCCGCAGTAAAGTGTAGCGAGTAAAGTTTGATGTGACACTCATACACAAACAATTTTCTCGACATCAGATCATGATACACCCACAATATCACTATAGGTAGAGTCCGTTTTACACTGGTGGAATATCACTCGTCTGGTAATGTCTTTTATTTAGGCCAATAACAGCGTATTATTGTACTTGTGCACTGGTGAGCTTTATAAACACAAATCCAAAAACAAGGCAGCATCGAAAAGCAAATATTTGCCTTAAAATAAATGCTAAAAATAAAAGTAAAATAAAAAAAACATAGCTGTATAAAAAAGATTTCATATTTCTGGAACCATTAAAAAAACAATTGGATTTAAAAAGCCACTACAGCTCTAAAATCAGAAATCATATTGATTTCTGATTTTAGAGCCTTGAAAAGAGCGTCAATAATTAATCTATTAATATAATCTTATGCCGGAACTTCGCTTGTGTATTTGTTAACTTGACATCAGTCTGTCCTCTTCATTCTTTATAAATCATGATAAGAACAAACTTGTCAAGTTTACAAATAGCAAATACGAATAGCCAAGTGAAGTGTTTAATTTTGCATTCGTATCAAGACTCACCAGTGCATTAACTGCTTCATTACAACTATCAATTCACAATTTTTCAGTCGACACAATTACACGCACCAGTGTCTTATAAGTAGAACTGATCACTAAACGTTTGTACACAGAAATGTTTAATGTAGCACTCACTATTCACTATGCGTATTGTCTTTGTTGACGTATCGGCACGGATACATGATGGGTTCAATAGTATTTGATAAAGTTATAGGACATTCCATCAAATCTATACGTACACTCGGAGAAGTGCTAAAAATACTTTCCTAAAGTGGTTATATAACGCTAAGCGAAAAATTTTACTCAACAGAAAGTACAATATTATTATTTTTTTTCTCATTGAAAAATAATCAAATTAAAAATAAAGTAAAACAGCATTCGGTATGTACTTCAAATACAACTGTGAAATTAAGTGTGTGTGTGTGTGGTGGTGGGAGTAGCTTGCTATCTCTCTCGTACTTATAGCATTTAAAGCAATAGGGAATATGCATGTAATCCAAATAAGACAAATTTTTTATAAGTAATTTTTATTACTTCTGAATTGTCCCTTCATCAATATTTTTTTAAATAAATTTATTTTTGAGAATAGAGATTAATTATTAAAAGTGCGAAAAAACCTGTGTGCAATTCAAATATTTGCAATTCGACAGACCGGTTGTGACGTAGAAGTCCATAACTACAAATCAACAAACAAGCGCCATATTCATAGGATATGTCAAAGTCAACGAGACCTAGTGCCATGGAGGTTAGAGCAAAGCATTAGCCCGCCTGTCCCTGAAAATTTTTAGAATTTATAGTTCATTTTTCAGCCACCAACCGCGCTGCCGTGGGTAAGTAGTATCTGTGAAGTGAGCTGTTTATGAGTACAAGTAGATGAAGTTAATTGAATAATGTAGAAATTTTAAAATAGCGCACAACAGCCCGTTTTTTTGTGACAACTTAGCGATCGCAGCGCCTCATTTATTTTGTCAATATTTCTTAGACACTATTTTGTACAACGATCGTTCTCCTTCTCTCTAACCTCCATGCCTGGTGCGAGTGCGTAGTATGCGCGCACCTAACCTCTAATCAACAGCTGCCGACTTCATAGAGGTATAAGTATAGAGTGGGAAAGGCGGCTCTAAAAGTGTCCGTCTAGTAGAAAGAGAAAGAAGATGAGAGACTGCTAGCTATCTCTTTCTTGTGACGCATGCGCAGTTGTCTGTCCAATAGTTAGTCCAAGCATCACATCGAAATAGTAAGATGCTTACGGTTGCCAATGCGCATGCGCGATAAGAGAGAGAAAGCTGGCGGTCTCTCATCTTCTGTCTCTTTCTATTAGAGGGGCACTTCCACTTGTAGTAGTCTATATCTCCCCTACTCTATTCTTATACCTATATGGTCGACTTCCACTTTGGATATTATGGCTTCATCGTTATGCACGATGATTCTGCTAATGTCAAGAGTTAAGAAAGGCACGGTTATATCGGTACTCTTCTTTGTATGGCGTGGTTGCCATGTTTCTTTGTGAAGCTATCGCGTAGAATTGAGTTTCTAACGGTTGTTTGTTTGTTACTATAGACTGTGACGTCACACCAAGAGTTCTAAAATAGCGAGCGTTTAAAACGACCGTGCAAGGTCGCTATTTTCCACATTTTTTAAGACACACCTTGTGTTGTTTACTATATGTATGGGAATGTAAACAATAAAAATATTAAAAGTATAATGCATATTCCCTATTATGGCACAACAATGGTGTCGATTCCGGTGTGATTTTCTAAACCTAAAATTAAATTTGACAACAGTTTATCCTTGTCATTCTCTATACAGAATGAAAAGGAGACACTGGTGTAAAGTTTTAAGTTAAGATAATCACGCCTGAATCGACGCCACTATTTAACTACCGCAATTGTTTTTTTTTTATCAGCTGTATATCTATAATCTTTTCATTCTAGATTTAAAATCAAGTAACATTCAACTATGAGTATCAAAAGAAAGACTTTGATATTGCACATAACATTAACAAAGACACACCGGAGACCGATTGTAGACGCATTTCAGCATTATATCCGCGCCGTACGTCAATACGTTATGTCGCCACTATTATTATAGCACTGTAGTCATCTGCGACGCAACTATGATTGTACGAGACCGTTAACGTTGTTTCCATCGCTACACTAAACGCCATCACATTGTAGTCGGCTACTTCGCGGTGACCGTAATAGTATAGGTATCGGCAAACTTCAAGAGCAAAGCGACAGACAAATAAACTTGCGCAGTATACGTTTTTGTACAGTGCGCCCAAGATTTTCATGAATGTGGCGAAATTGGAACTAACGCCGCCGTCTTTGTAAACGATATATTTTGTATGTCACTTTGGCCATTCATTTATTTAGTCACTAAAGTTCATTAAGATCTTGGTGGCACTGTATGTGAAATTGCTACTGCGCAGGCTTCCCCTTGTCTATGGTCGTTGCTCAAGAAGTTTCCCGGGGTGTACACAAGCACGCGCCTCAACGTTCTTGCGCCGCTTACGTCACCGCGTTGTGTGCGAGTGAGACGGCATGATAATGCGACTAAGGCGTAGGTTTCCATCGCTACACTTCACGTCATCGCATTGCAGGGTGCTACTTCGCAGATCGACGACAGAGATAGTAGAAGCACGCACTTCGACATTCCCACGCCCCTTACATCACCGCGTTGTGTGCGAGCGAGGCGGCATGATAATGCGGCTAAGGCGTAGGTTTCCATCGCTACACTTCACGTCATCACATTGCAGTGTGCTACTTCGCAGATCGGCGACACAGATAGTAGAAGCACGCACTTCGACATTCCCACGCCCCTTACATCACCGGGTTGTGTGCGAGCGAGGCGGCATGATAATGCGGCTACGGCGTAGTTTTCTATGGCTACACTTCACGTCATCACATTGCAGTGTGCTACTGCGCAGAGGCGACTGTGATAGTAGAAGCACGCACCTCAACGTTCCCGCGCCGCTTACGTCACCGCGTTGTGTGCGAGTGAGACGGCATGATGGTGCGGCTAAGGCGCAGGGTGATCGGGCGCAGAAGCGGGCGGCAACGCGGGAGGGGGGCCGCTGGTCCAATGGACTAGCGCATGCTGGGGCATCTGCGTCGCCTACAAACAATATGTTATCTTACCAATATTACAAATGCTTAGATTAAAACAAAAAGGGAAGATACGGCACTCGCTTAAATACAGTTTAAAGCTAAGCTCTAAAGCGAATTATGGTCATGTACCACAAGTACATTTGACAAGGTTTAGAAAACGATCTCACGTTATTTACTAATGTTTATAGAGTCCATAAAAAGTTGATATTCATCATTATGTTGTGTATTTCGGTAAATAAACCAAATCAAAAACTCTATTTTCAAGTTGCCGCGAAAAACGTATCTCTAGACAATATGGCGTCTCACTGGTGTGTGACGTCACACGACTGTCATTAAAACGTCAAACCATACAATCAAATGTCACTTTAGTCGGAAGTTTACTTGCGTGTGACGTCATTTTAGGCTCTACCAATCCCAAGCATTTTTGGTCACGTGACAAAAGACAAGAAAACTATTATCTTGATCGTGGGTTTTTAGTAAAATTATGAATATTTTTCTGTAAAAATAGTAAAAACTCCTGCCAATATACATTCTAAATACAGATGCTAACAATTGGCACTTTATTTTTAATACTATCAAATACCCTATTGGACATTCAAACACGCTGCATGTGCACTCAATATAACAATATTGCGTATATTCTGTGTTATGAAGATAAAACAATGCCTTCGATGCTTTTATAAAGAACACAAATAGTTAAAAATCAAATAACAAATGCCTCGGCAACACTTTTCATTCGTAAAACTGTAAAATCATTTTTTTTTTCAAAAATCACGGTTTGTCGTGAATGTTATTTACGTAATCGCCATTTTGTTATCAAGAAAAGGACAACAATACGCTGTGTTGTAATGTATAGTTCTGCCTTGCTCACTCGATTGAATGTTTATACATTATATACAGACGTGCGCGTGTGTGAGAGTTGCTTATGTAGTTGAGACGGATCATATTTTATTTGATGCCTCTCTGAGCGTACCGTATCCACCATTTTTGTTTTAATCTAAGCACTAATGTGAAAGTTTGTCTGCCTTATTACAAAACCAAGACTAAAGTTAAACCAGAACCAAAACTGATGCTTTCACTTTTGCTTACAAAATAGAAGACAGAGACAAGAGTAAGCTTTGGAAAAAAGCTGTCTATGTTTGTATATTTGAGACCCAATCACGCAAAAATTGCTAAATAGATTTGGATGAAATTTGGTACGCATATCGGTTATGATCTGGCTCAATCCCGGGAAACATAGAAAACTTATTATCCCGAAAAAATGTTAGCTTCCTGTGGGATTCGGAAAAAAGTAAAGTTAACGCGGATAAAGTCGCGGGCCGCCGCTAGTTATTCATGTAGTTAAAGAAAATTTTACTACAAAAAACCCTCGGCGGTCCAGGCATGCGCATGAATGCAAATGCGCTCAAATTGCGATAGATGCAGATTCGAATTCCGTTTGACGCCTGGACCACGAGGATTTTTTTTCTAGTAAAATTTTCTTCAGATTTATAAATGTAGCAGTGAGCATTGTAGCTCAAAATAAAAAATGTGATGATGGTGTCAATTCTGACACGATTCTCTAAACCTAAACTTTTGACAACAGCGTATCCTTGTCATTCTCTATACGGAATGAAAAGGAGAGATTGATGTTAAATTTAGTTTTAAGGTTAGAGAATCACGCCAGAATCGACACCATTATTCGTTTAAAACCGCTCCCCGTCATAAAGCTTCGTCTATGTTATTTTAAATTTATCCGTCTATAACATATCAAGTTTATTCGCGCCTTGAAAATTGAAATAAGATCAGGGTGATCAAGCAACAGTGCGGATGATATTTTCGGCCCTAGGAATAGGATCTGGGGTTCCACTGCGAAGCGGATTACTCCCGTGGAGCCCTGGATCTCTTCTCAACGCAAGAAATACAACACTAACAAAAGTAAGTGTTATTTCACTGTGATCTTCTGTAAGGTCTAATTCGAACGGAGAATACTCTACACCCTGCTTCTCTTTCTATGTAGTACCTATCTTTATAATAATAATATCTTATTTGTTTCTTAGGTTTTCAGGCACATCACTCATTAAAATAAAACTAGTTTTAACGGGTTAATGCACGCCAGGAACTTTATTTATTTATTGACGTTTCGCAGCCTTTCAGCTCTGCTTTTTCAGGCTTTATTCTGGCGATGCAGACCTGAAAAAGCTGCGAAACGTCAATAAATAAATAAAGTATTTTAATAATATTTTATTTCAGAGACTGTACATTCTCCATATTAAAATTTATGTCTTTAGTTTCAGTAACAATGTTTCAAAGTAATTACAATTAAATTGATAATTAACAATTGGATGTGACTATTTATTCCAAGCCATTTAACACCCCAACCTATGGTCCCTGTATAAATTTTCACACTCAGTGGTTGCCTGGAAGAAATCGCTCTTAGTGATAAGACCGCCAATTAATGTTACGTAATTATGTATTTGGTATTATAATAAAGTGTTAATCTATCTATCTAACAATAAAACCAGTTTTATTTAGCATAGCATACCTGGAAGTGGTCCTTGAGAAGGGCCTGTGAGAAGTTGCAGTGCATCTGGTACGCTTCGTTCTCTCGCTCCGTATCGCCCGCCAACCGGTACAAATCTGAGTAACACAAATATTACGATCAGTGTTACCGATACAGACGTATTTGTACAATAGCTACACGTACACATCAGTACCCTTAACACGAACCAATATCGAATTGGTTACGTTTGCAAAATTTCTTAATATTGTTTAAATAATAATACGCACTAGCGGCAGAAAACACGTTACGCAGTAGCGGCTGGCTGCCTAGGCGGTTCGTTTGAGCGATCCAACCGCTTAACGCGTTTATATCGCGCTTCGAGATTGGCCGCCATAGCAGTCAGCCGTGATGTAACCACGTTAAGCGATTGGACCGCTCGAAGGCGCGTTTCCCATAAATGAATTCATCAGCGGCTCGCCGCAATCTGAATTAATGAATAATCCATGAATGCGATGCCCCATGAATCGCCAGTGTGTATAAACAAGATGGCGGTCAGCCGCGAAGCTAGCATCAGCTCTCCATTCAAACGACGCGGTTAAAATTTTGTAGCGGTTGAAATTATGTGGGTATAATCACAGGCGATAGCATATTAAACTGGAAAAGCAGATAGCCGCGCGGTTTGCCGCCCCTGCGGTTAACCGCTAGTGCGTAGGAGCGCTTAAAAATAATGAAGTAAAATCAAATGAAATGAAATAACGTTGACGGGAAGAAACATTTGACAATATGCTTCGGACTTTATGCTTCTATTTGGCCAGCATTTTCCGCCTAGATAAACTTCTTACAGCAACTGTACATGGACTGTACTGGACCCATGACGAATTTTGGATATTACATAATTTGACGAAAAGACGATTTGACAAAATACCAATTTGTCTAATTTCTAATTTGTCGAATTGACGATATGTCCAATATCAAATTGAGCAATGTCGTAACACCCATAGAAACAAATAAAAATATGACATAGATATAGCGAAGCGTCGAGTAGACGTATCATTGCTCGTTTGTTTTTTGGAGATCATAATTAACAGGTCCGTAATTTGTTGTTCTGTTATCAGTCATAAAGACCTCATTTATAAAACTATATTTAAGTTTTTTTTTTACATTGGACAGTGCAAATAGTTTCATTTTAATTTTAAGTTATGTCTAGATGTGAGGACCTGTAATTGGCTCTTTGTCACTACTATTTATTTCTAGTTTATTATGATAAGCTGTAGGTTTTCCATGCAACCAAAAGAAATAAATGACATACCTTTGAGTATAGCGGAGGCCCATAGTTGCACATGAACGTCGGGTATTTTACTGGCTAACTGCATGGCCGGCGTGACCATGTTCATGCTTTCCCGCGAGTTGTTTATGGACAGGAATATGTGGCCCAGCAGCACCAACGAACAAGATGTCAGTCTGTTAAGGTCTTCGGCATTCGCCATTTTTAACGTCTCGCGAAGGTACCGCCTGGTTAACAAAGACAAAATATATGGATAATATTGCTATTATCCTACAATTTTTTTACCCTGCTTTTGCCGGTTACATATCAAATCATGGTCCTAACTACGTGGAAAGGGATGCGAAACTTCAAGAAACAGGTTGATTGGCGCATTTGAACCATGAAGCTTTATTTATTAGTAATTAAGAAAATTTATAGAAAATGTTTGCAATGCCCTTGCAATGCTCATGTTGTCATATCTCATTTTAAGAACCTATGTACCAACATGAAGCAAAAAAGATTATGATTATATAGTTTATTACCTGGATTGAGACAGGATATTCTTATCCCAAAAATTTTTGGGATCTTTTGGGATTCTCAAAGAACTTAAGCTAACGCGAATGAAGTCACGGGCGGAAGCTAGAATTTTGTATAAAATTTTCTAATACTTTGTAAAACGTTCTTAGGGGAAAATAAGAAAAGTTTGGCGTGGCATTTCTTTTAGTAAAATTTTCTTTAGATTTAATCATCTAGCAGTTACATGCTTAAAAAAACAAATATAACCAAAATAACTAATTATTTTTGATGTTTACTTAAATTAAAATTTAATACCATTAGGGAAATATCCATATATTGCGAAAAAAATTTTTGGTAATAAAAATAACAATAATTAATTCTTACTTGGCTTCATTATACCGCGCCTGGAAAAACGCCTGTAGTCCCAGCACGTAGTACGATGCCGCCCGCAGACCATGCGCGTACGCGGGCAACGCTTCCGGCCTTACCTATATACAAAATAACATACATTTTGTCATAGCACATAAGTGTTAGTAACACCAAACAAATAAGTTTTAAGTTTAATTAGTTTCACTCTATGAATATTATGATGCATATTTTTTCCTTTCTTCTTTTGTTTTCCTTCTTGTCAATTTGTACGTTGAACGTAATACAAGCAAATTTTACTTATTCAGTTTGGATTTTATTTATTTAACTAGCGGCCCGCCCTGGCTTCGCTTCGGTGTAGAGCTGAAGCAGTTTTTGTTCTCAGACTTGCATTATACACAATGACATTTATTTATGATACTTCTTATACCTGCATGCAAAGTCTCAGCCCGATCGGTTTAAAATTGACAAAGTTTCATACAAACTTTCATTCCCTATTTTATCCCCTTGGGGGTAGAATTGATCAAAATCCTTTCTTAGCGGATGCCTACGTCATAACATCTACCTGCATGCCAAATTTGGATTCAATTAAAACTAATACACACTTTTATAAGTTTTTTAATCATTGACGAATTTATTGCGTCACTTGTTCTTCATTTCTGAAATGGTAACTGCCAACAAAATATTTTATGCAAAGTAATTGATCATATAGTGTCGATAATTCTCGTTTTAAATTGTTTTGTTGTTTCTGTATAACACCACGAACGTCTAAAGTCTGCTGTTACTTACATAATCAGCTTAAAAATGCTTATTATTTCTTCTAGCTATACAATAAAGTGCGTCTAGCAATAGTTAAGCTACTCACTTGTTCCATTAGTTGCGCTAAGTCGTTGTCCCTCCTTCCCCGCAGGTATACTATCGCCAAGTTTAGCTTCGCAAACATCCATAAATCTCTTTCTTGTGACATCTGTGGACAATGTCATATTTTATTGTTATTAGTTAGTAATATTGATTTGATAGTAAAAAACTGGCAAAAACGATAGAGAGTGTGGCTGTGTCTGTACAGAGTTGATTGATTTTGTCTCATAGTGTCGATAGTATAAAAGGAGTTTGATAGTTAAGTGGTGTGTTGTCAATGAACTTTGATATAATGGATCGTGGCAGTTAAATATCAATAAATCGTTATCTTATTAATGTCATTCCTATCAGCCTATCCCTCACCAAAGCGTGACAAAGCTTCTTCTACATACTGCTCTTAAATTAGCTTGCGAATTAGCGGCGCTAAAGGCGCGCATGTACGCTCCTTCACCTGCAAAACGATGCCTCGACCTCCAACTGCTTTCGCTAAATAAACATGGCGGATTATTCCAATTCTTTCTATTTTATTTCTTATATTCGATATATAGGATCTGAAGTAAAAGCTTTAAATATTTTGAGAATAAAAAATATGTATACTATCCTGAATTATTTAATTCAATTATTATTAAAATAATAGAAAGAAAATATATTAATAAGTACATACTTCAAATAAGGCTGTATGGACTTATTGATCTTTGATTTCACGACAGGGAAAATTGTAAAAAAAAATGAATGCAATATTTTTGATGCGGGTCGAAAAAACCGCCATTTAAGTTATCATCTAGCTCTAGTGCTGTCGCTACGAAGTCCGATAGTTAGTTACGATAGACACTAATGGCTTCCCAGTCCCGCACCTGCGTTTATCGCGCGAGGAGTCATGCCATAAGATCAGTGTATTAGCATTTACGTAATTCTCTCTTGTATTTATGCGATTGTGAGTGTCAACAGAAAATAAACGTTATATTATCTATGTCCGAGTGAGAGGGCGGAGTGTGTGCGAGTGAGACAGGTGCTAGTGTATGGGGATATGCTCACGTGGATGGCGGTGAGGAACTGCGATTCAGCAGCCTCCATACAATTCTTGGACATCGCGTACAAACCCAGCAGGCTGTGTCAGAGTGAGAGGGCGGAGTATGTGTGACTGAGAGAGGTGCCAGTGTATGGGAATATGCTCACGTGGATGGCAGTTAGGAACTCCGCTTCAGCGGCCTCCATGCAATTCTTGTACATCGCGTACAAACCCAGCAGGCTGTGTGTCAGAGTGAGAGGGCGGAGTATGTGCGTCTGAGAGAGGTGCCAGTGTATGGGAATATGCTCACGGGAATGGCGGTAAGGAACTGCGCTTCAGCGGCCTCCATGCATTTCATGGACATTGCATACAGGCCCAGCTGCCAGTGTATCAGAGTTAGAGAGCGGAGTGTGTGCAAGTGAGACAGGTGCCAGTGTATGGGGATATACTCACGTGGATTGCGGTGAGGAACTGCGCTTCAGCGGCCTCTATGCAATTCTTGAACATCACGTACAAACTCAGCAGGTTTTGTGTCGGAGTGAGAGGGCGGAGTGTGTGCGAGTGAGACAGGTGCCAGTGTATGGGGATATGCTCACATGGATGGCGGTTAGGAACTGCGCTTCAGCAGCCTCCATGCAATTCATGGACATCGCGTACAGACCCAGCAGGCAGTGGAGTTGCGGCGTGTGAGCTGCTGCGCTGCAAGCTGTACAGAAACATATTCGTATTGTAACACAAATCGATCATGATCTCCGTAACCGTATAATATTGTGAAAGTGTCTATGCAAACTAAGCAGCGCCCCTACCGGACATAAGAACAAACTGGCTCCTTCCATACAAAATTTGACGATGACGATGCGATTACAGAACTGACAAAATTCGTGCTTGGGCCCCAGAGGTCATGGAAATATTTTAAACTATAATAGCTTTCGAGAACTCGGTGCATTCAAAAATAATGTGTGTCTTATTAATTAATTAATGTTAAAGATTGAAGACCCTAGAAATGCTCTGTTCACGCTTCACCGATACGGCGACTAAAGAGAATTACCAGCTAGGGACAGAAATGGAGCATGGTGAATTTAGAATTCATGCTAGCTTTAAATATTCGTGAAGCTTAATCTGTCGTTGAATCCTCGTGCAGCGCGTGCGTCTTGCCGCTGGCCACCAGGCGGCACAGCGCCGCGTGCTCCACCAGCGCCATGCGCAGCCGCCACGCCAGCGTCGCCTCTCTGCCCGCACACACGCCTACAGCCGGCCCCGGAGCTACACTCACGCGCGGGCGCCACGGTGAGTAGGTGCGCGGCGCGCGCTATCTCGTGCAGCGCGTGCACCTTGCCGCCGGCCACCAGGCGGCACAGCGCCGCGTGCGCCACCAGCGCCATGCGCGTGCGTCACGCCAGCGTCGCCCCGCTGCCCGCACACACGCCTACAGCCGGCCCCGGAGCTACACTCACGCGCGGGCGCCACGGTGAGTAGGTGCGCGGCGCGCGCTATCTCGTGCAGCGCGTGCACCTTGCCGCCGGCCACCAGGCGGCACAGCGCCGCGTGCGCCACCAGCGCCATGCGCGTGCGTCACGCCAGCGTCGCCCCGCTGCCCGCACACACGCCTACAGCCGGCCCCGGAGCTACACTCACGCGCGGGCGCCACGGTGAGTAGGTGCGCGGCGCGCGCTATCTCGTGCAGCGCGTGCACCTTGCCGCCGGCCACCAGGCGGCACAGCGCCGCGTGCGCCACCAGCGCCATGCGCGTGCGTCACGCCAGCGTCGCCCCGCTGCCCGCACACACGCCTACAGCCGGCCCCGGAGCTACACTCACGCGCGGGCGCCACGGTGAGTAGGTGCGCGGCGCGCGCTATCTCGTGCAGCGCGTGCACCTTGCCGCCGGCCACCAGGCGGCACAGCGCCGCGTGCGCCACCAGCGCCATGCGCGTGCGTCACGCCAGCGTCGCCCCGCTGCCCGCACACACGCCTACAGCCGGCCCCGGAGCTACACTCACGCGCGGGCGCCACGGTGAGTAGGTGCGCGGCGCGCGCTATCTCGTGCAGCGCGTGCACCTTGCCGCCGGCCACCAGGCGGCACAGCGCCGCGTGCGCCACCAGCGCCATGCGCGTGCGTCACGCCAGCGTCGCCCCGCTGCCCGCACACACGCCTACAGCCGGCCCCGGAGCTACACTCACGCGCGGGCGCCACGGTGAGTAGGTGCGCGGCGCGCGCTATCTCGTGCAGCGCGTGCACCTTGCCGCCGGCCACCAGGCGGCACAGCGCCGCGTGCGCCACCAGCGCCATGCGCGTGCGTCACGCCAGCGTCGCCCCGCTGCCCGCACACACGCCTACAGCCGGCCCCGGAGCTACACTCACGCGCGGGCGCCACGGTGAGTAGGTGCGCGGCGCGCGCTATCTCGTGCAGCGCGTGCACCTTGCCGCCGGCCACCAGGCGGCACAGCGCCGCGTGCGCCACCAGCGCCATGCGCGTGCGTCACGCCAGCGTCGCCCCGCTGCCCGCACACACTCCTACAGCCGGCCCCGGAGCTACACTCACGCGCGGGCGCCACGGTGAGCAGGTGCGCGGCGCGCGCTATCTCGTGCAGCGCGTGCGCCTTGCCGCCGGCCACCAGGCGGCACAGCGCCGCGTGCTCCACCAGCGCCATGCGCAGCCGCCACGCCAGCGTCGCCCCGCTGCGGGCGGTCACGCCGCTCGACTCCTCTGTGCATCCGCTCGCTGAACAAAAAATTACAATACCCTTAGCATGCTCCAATATTTAATTCGAATAGTTTGTGAGAGTGAAATATCAATGTCAAATCTTGCATGGAAACTTGAACAGCAGGGCCACCACAGACGTAACAAGAACTAAAAATCAGTACACATTTTACGTATAAAATAGGTCGAACTCAACTATTCGAACTATTTTGTTCGTGCTTAGGGTACAGATGCAATACACGCGTAAAAAACTGTGAGCGTTGTGTTTCTGGTTAATTATAAAGTAAGTTGACTGTACTTTAAAATAAATGTTTACTCATATTAATCATCATGAAACACACCTTCTCTAGATATAGCTTTGATAGTTGTAAATTTTATACTTTTTGTGAAAATCAAATTAAGAGTTCCAAGGTACTAGTGGGTGGAACAGTTTACTTGCAGTACAATGTATATTCAAAAACATGACCAGACTAAAATAAAACAGCAGCTCTTTCCAGAGAAAAAACCCTTTGCCAAATAAAAGAAAGATATCGGATGCGCTTTCGCGTCTTCCTGTTACACATTTCCGTTCCATTTCACGAAATCACTCCCACAAATTGCAGGAAAGCGAGAGGAAAGGTGTTACACGTGAAAAAAGTCTTACATGTAAGTTTGTCGATCTGCGCGAGCGCCTTCTCCGTGTACTTGTGCGCCTTGTCCATATAGCCGGCCTGCGCGGAGTGCATCACGGTCACTAGGTACACCAGCACATAGAGCTGCTGCCGCGACAGCCATACGAACGACTCGCCCGCCGCGCTGCCACAAACGGCTGCAAGGAAAACGAACCATCACAACTTGTAACGACCTCCGTGGTTGGTTTGTACGCCGGAATTGATGGTGTCGCCTACTCGAGAGGTCCCGGGTTCGAGTCCCGGTGGGGGCAGATGTTTGTTTGATGAATACGAGTATTTGTACTCCAGTCATGGATGTTTATTTGATGTATTTCTATAAAAATATACTTATATGTATTCTATCTGTTACCCAAGTATCCCACAACACAAGCCTTATAGTGCTTACTTTGGGGCTAGGCTAATGAGGGTGTTTATGAAAATTTACGTCACCAGTTGGCGCCACTGTTATGCGAGGTCTTTTGTATGAATTTTTTAGCGCCAACTCCATAGACCAGATTCATAGACTATGAGATCATATGTGATATGACGGATGATTAGACCTTTCGTCTCAGTACTGCCACCTGGTGCCTGTCATTCCAAAAAACCCTCATTGGTGTGAGTGTTGGATATATTTATTTATATTTATTGTAACGTGTTAAAAACGTCACATGAAAAAATTCCACGCGGACCAGGCAGCAGACGGGACTCGAACCCGCACCCTTCGCAATCCGGGCGAATGCACTGACCAATTATGCTACCGCGGCCCTCACGGATCGCGTCGAAATTCTTCTAGCCATTCTTAAGCTGCAAAGCAGCGCCATCTCTTCGCATTATAGGTAACCCACAATGTCAAATGAATACTTTTAGAAGTATTAAACATTTGAAAGAAGAAATAGCAATTATAGTTATAATTTTTATTATTTTAAAGCATGTAACTGCTTGATGTTTAAATCTAAAGAAAATAAAACTAGAAAAAAAACCTTTTTTCTAGGTATGGTCAGGTCAGGTCAGGTGAGGTCATCTGTCAGACCTGTTTATATAAAAAAACTACTTCATGCTCTGAAACGCTTGTTAAGCTATTGGTTCTAGCAGTTGTTAGCACCTATCAATCCACACTGGGTCCGATTTGGTTTTTGGCTAGTTGTCCCTAATTTGACTATGGGGAAGACCCCCTTGTAGTGGGGAGATTAGGAGATACACTCGCTAAAATTATGGAAAGATCCTTTTGGATATGATCCCTAGGAATCACTAGAATAACTAGACTCACCATCGTCATCTGGCCACGTAGGCGCCATTATAGTTTGGATGCTCTGCTGCAGCTGTTTTAGGCAGGGCTTCACACTTTTCACCTGCCCTGCCATTAAGTAGTGACATACCTGGCATTTAAAAAATGAGACTTCATCAGTTTTTCGCGCCAAAACATAGCTACAGTTCTAATGACGGCACTCGCTTATAACACTGTTGTTAAGGGATGGTTAAAAGTTTCTTTTTAAAGTATCAACAAGCAATAGGTAGTATGACCAAGCATTGATCATAATAATATTCACAATTATGGGTTTTGATTGATGGTGCTTTACAAAAACTATGAAATTCATATTTTGTTGCGTGAGATAAAGGTCATATTAATGAACACGCAACTTTGGAACAGTGATAGTATTGAGAGAGGTAGGGCATAGCGGATTTGCCGCTCGAATTGGAGAGCCTGTCTGGGGAAGTAACCTCCACCTTACAGAAGACTGCAGTAAAACAACACTATCTAGTGGTGTTATGTTTCTGTGGGTTAGTAAGGTTCCATCGATCCATGGGGTAGGGGATTGGGTCAGGGTAGGCAATGGCATGGTGATATTTTTTGTATCGCAAGTGTCTATAGGCAATAGTGGCCACTTACCATCAGGTGGGCCATAAGCTTGTTTGCCTCACTTTAACATAAAAAAAATTTAGGCCCCAATGATAGGTTTTTTTTTGCTAAGGACAGATTTAACCTTTTTATTGTTTACATAACTGTAGTTCTTTAAAAAGAATAACAGATTTTTTGTTATAGACAAACAGCATTTCACAGATGTGTCTGTATCATAAAGGTAAGACAAGCAGCATTTCACAGATGTGTCTGTATCATAAAGGTAGTGTTAAAATTCATTGTTTTTATGAGCTTTTATTTACTTTCACTTGTCCCATTGACTGTCTGTAATCAAATATTGCAAGTTAAATTTGACAAACTGTCCAATTGAGCTGAAATATTACAGGCAAGACAATAATATTATAATCAAATGGAGTTGGAAGGTGGCCATAGGAACTGAAACGAAGCAGCCCCATTAAGTTTAGATTTGGTTCATCATGACAAATCATTTATCTTTGGTGGTATCTAGTGTCTGATGGTGTAGATAGAAGAGAGAGATATACAAAAATACAAAATTAATTCACGATGATAATACCTGTAAGACAAGGAAGAAGACTTTCAGATACTCTTTTTGGTGTGGACTGCCTGCCCATGAGTCCACTAGGTGTCCAGCCTGGTTAAGCAATGGTAACACTTCTTGAATTTTCTTGTCAATTAACAGCAACTACAAATAAAAATTCATTCATTAATAAACAGCTACACAAAATAAAATAATTTTGTTTTTTGAATGCTTGAAATCTGAGATTTTTTTTTGGGATTTGTCCGCAATGGCAGTAAACCTGTCCACTGTTCGTCTTGACATAGTCTTATTGGGTTCCATAGCAAAAACAAACAATGGAACCCTACTAAGCATGAAGAGACACAAAGATTCAGTTGATCAACCTAAGTTAATACAAAAATCACTTTGTATTGGTGTTAAAGCAAAAATAACTGACTAAAATCTAAACTACAGAAACCATTATAACTTAGCAGAATCAACTCCTTGGCAATCTGTTCGTGAACCATGTAAAATTTTTAAAAATATCCTGGTGGCATATTTGAATGGAATTTACTATTTTATACAATAATGACAACAAATACAATTATTTTATTAAAATAAAAATCAGAGCCCACACAAAAAACATGTTTTTCTAGAAATATTCTAGCCAACCTAGTGCTGAATCTTATAAAACAGACAATATTTATATTTCAGATCTGTGCACCAAAATATTATTATTATATTAATGCCACCGATACATACCATTACTCTACTAAGAAGAAAGAGTACTCTAGTGTACGCAGCATTAGATATCTGTGCATAGTCTACACCAACACCTAGTAAACTGCTTGCAACTTCATATTCACGTTCTGTTGCATGAATTTGCTGAAATTTATAAGAAAAATAATAATAACTTACAACTCACAACATTTCTTCACTAATTAAAGTACATTTAAGGCATAAAGCTAATTAAATATATGTAGTAGAACATAAAAATTTTATACCCACTAAAAACTTATGAATAGCACTATCTAGAGTTGATTATTATTATGTATTAATATTATCATAATTTTATACTTACAGCCAATTGGAATATTAACCTACAGTGCCAATAAACACTGTGTTGTGACAATTCAATAGCTTTTCGTAGAATTGGTTTAGAATGAGTTGGCTGACCCTGCTGCTCAAACAGCTCAGCCAGTACACTTGCTGCCTCAAATTTGACATCATCGAATCCATTTATTGTCTGAGACAGACACCACTGCAACCAAAACACTACATTGACCCATTTCAACATCATTGTTTACATTCTATGTCACTTTCCACTAACAGGTACGCCGATAATTTATTTGAATGCCCTATAAGACCATAGCTGCTGAATATCCTTTACTCTCCCATGCATTCTAAGATTCAAAACATTAGGAAAAAACTTACACTCTGCTCTAAATGCGTCCTCGCTAAGTCGATGTTTTTAGTGTGTGTCAGTAGGATATTACCAAGTTGTAAATGAGTTCGGGCTTCGACCCTTTGTGGTGGCTTGAAATTGAACACTGCTTGTAAACACTGAATACAACTTTTTATGTCAGGAGGATTTGATGTACGAAAGTGTTCTGCTAAACCAAGTAAAGAAATATACCAAGCGTCCTGCGTTGACGCCATTTTGACATTTCTGCTTGAATATATATATTTTTTAGAACATTTGCCCTTTTCCGGGAAGGCAAAGGGAACAATGCCCATACCGCCTAATCTTAAATTTTAATTATCATCTTTTTTTTTACATTAATATGTCGGTGTGATTCATTCTAATGTTTCTGGGAGAGTTTGGCACAAAATGTAACGAATTGGCTTTTACGATAAGCTTCTGTGAGGTAGTCAACACTACAATAAAGGTCTCATGTCCACTTGACCGGAATAACGTATAACAAGGTCTTCACCGGAATAGCGTATATCAAGGTCCTCATCTATTTTAGTGCGTCGTCGACGCTGAAGGCGCCACGGCTTGCGGGGAATCTGGTGAGGAGAGTTCCTTTACAGACGTGACGGTTAGCGTGCTTCGTCTCGAATGAAGCGGTCATTGGGTGGGGTCCGTCTCCGTTCCCAAGCTTCACCACTACGCCCTCAGCGCGGTCCAGCCCACCGGGTGAAAGTGAGTAGATGTAAGGCCGGTTTAAAGCCAATTAAATCAACGGTTGATGTTGATGACTATGTTTTTCTTAATTATAACTACATTGTCTTGATTTTCCCGAGGTAGGAATATAACGAAGTACCTATAAACTGTATAGTTTTTTTAGATGTGTGATATACTTACTGATATTGATATACTTAGCGAGTTTAGTTCTAGTTGGTCCATCCGCGACCAAGCATATTAGCTACCTAAGTTATAAAAACTCTTATCATAAGTTAAAAACCCTGTGTTGGTAAATAAAAAAAATGGGTGCGTATACTTATATGTAGGCGCGTGAGAAGTTATCCTTCTTTGGCATCGTTTAAAATTAGTTTTTAATTGCATGCAAATAATTAATTACAATAAATTAATAAAAAGTCTGGAAAAGGACACAGTCAATAAAGTTCAGTTTTAATTTGAAAAAATAAATAAATAATCAAAATATTCAATTAAAATCGCTACTGAATATAATTTATTAGAACATATGTGATTTGCACTTGTATGAAACTCAAACACGTATTCCGAATATACAAACTAGAAACATGTGGATAAATATTATAAATATGAATACCTATAACTGTTACTTTATTACAAAAAATAAAGATGTGGTTTTTGGTTCTACTACACCAATGGTCAAGAGATGGCGCTGTAGTCTCCTGAATCGCGCTTTCGTTCCGTTGTTCCAGATTAATAAATACTTTTGATAGGCCTTCACAATGCAGTCGTTAGCACCCACAAAATAGAGATTCTATTTCTATTTTGTTGGTAGATTTTGTTAATGTGCGGTAAACACAAAGTAACAGCATGAAGTTGAAAGCGACCAACTTCATGCTGTTAATTTTTTGTGTTACAGTGATGCGCGTGCATCTTAAAATTTCACTCTCATCATTTTTTCATAACGCGCCTAAAGAAGTATAACTTCAAAAATCATTGTTTTCAAAACAAAAGTTTTTAGATCTATTCTTCTCTATTAAAAAGGCAAAGCCATGCAGCCATCATTTTTGTATTAATCTTCCTTTTTTTTACATTAGAATGTGGGTATGATGCATTCTAATGCTTCTTGGAGTGCAAAGAGTAGTATAATATACCGGAAATTGGAGTGTTTGGCACAAAATATATCGAGTTGGCTTTTTCGATAAGCTTCTGTGAGGTAGGTAGTCAATACTACAATAAAGTTCTCACGTCTACTTGACCGTAATAGCGTATATTTTAAAGATTCCACCATAGAGTATACTAGTATATAGGGAATTCCACTAATTATTCAGTTGCGCACACGGTTGTAACACAAAATCACACCAATTTTATTTCATATTATCCAATGAACAAATTTAAGAATAATTAAAATAAGTAGCCAACCGCACTCGATGAAATCCCGCCAAAAACTCCTTTTTTTTGGTTCTATTATATAATCTCTTCTTCTTTTTCTTCTTATTGAGAAAGGCAAAGGCATAGCCATGCAGCCATCATCTTATTTTTATATTAATCTTCCTTTTTTTACATTAGAATGTGAGTGTGACGCATTCTAATGCTTCTTGGAGTGTTTGGCACGAAATATATCGAGTTGGCTTTTTCGATAAGCTTCTGTGAGGTAGTCAATATTACAATAAAATTCTCACGTCCACTTGACCGGAATAGCGTATATTTTAAAGATTCCACTAATTCTTCAGTTGCGCAGACGGTTGTAACAAAAAATCACACCAATTTTATTTCACAATACCCACTATGAACAAAGGACATTGGGCAAAAATGTATGGAGTTATTTTTGGTTAAATAAGTACAAGTTAATACATACCCATAACGAACGAACATTAATAAAATAAGGGAATTAATTTAGTTAGTTCGACTACATAGAGGGCTCAGGTATTATGGGAGTACTCCACAAGGTGCAAGGGTGCCCCCTTGTGTTATTCTGCCGCGTTAGAGTAAATACAAAAATCCACGCATGGGTTGGGGTTTTTTCAAACAGTCAGTGCGTAATAGTAAATTCTCTTCTATATAAAACGGAGCGACCACAAATCACACAAACTTGTCCACTCTTCGAAGAAAACGTGATTTCAGTTCGACGATAATCATATTCCAATGTCCAAAGCGTGTTAGATAAAAATCAATCAAGTGACCGGCGCACAATCACAACGAAGTAAGACGAGTCGACAATTTGCAACTGCAAGTCCTTCAACCCCCGTAAACCGTTTTGAGGTGGTTCAGTAAGTGCAAGCGCAGGATGGTCGGCATTGTCATCTATATCTGATTGTATAGTACGATATGGCATATTATTATGATTACTAATAATATAAAATGAAGGCACTATAAAGTGAATTTATTTAGCTACTTAAATTTTAAGTGAATTCACTTTACATGGGCATATTAAATATGCCCATTTGTCGTATCTTTTGACTACCAGGATATTTTTTTACGGTGTCATAATAAAAAAAGGCTAGTTTTTCATAGATCTATCGGTTCATACTAATTACATTGTTGGCGGAGCTGGGTGCGTTTTGCCCATTGTCCTTTAAGAATAATTAAAAAAGACGCTAACCGCACTCGATGAAATCCCGCCAAAAACTCCTTTTTATTCTGGCCTTGGATCGTGACGTTTGTCGCAGCCAGTGCTGCCAATATTAAAATGTAGTTGCGGCATAGATTAACATAAAGTTGCGTTCAGAAATCAAAATGTTCAAATCATCAATCAATGTAGGGTAGGAGCCCTACATATTTCTTTGGATAGGTACCTTTAAAAATCAACAGTGCTTGGAAAAGAAATAGCATGAATGAGAAAATATAATTGAAGTTCTGCCATCCTTCACTAGATGAAGTCATCCATCAGTCTGCCATCTAGTGAAGGCAGAAATTATTTGATAGAAGTGTAATCGCTTTAATACAGATACGGCGCTGCTTAGTTTTCTATGGCGATAAGAAAACCTTCTCCCTTATAAATTGTAGGGCACAACCCAAGCAAGTTTTTGAAAGCTCCATAACGTAACGCATCACCAATTTCTATGAAAACTAAGCAGAGCCCCTGTCCGACTTACGAGCAAACTAGCCTTTTCCATTAAAAAATGGTTGCCTGTAAAGTCGGTTTTACGGGCGAAGATTTTACGTGACAACGTCTTTTTCTCGGTAGAGTATTTATTGATATGAATATAATTAAATTGCACAATAGGAACAAGGAATTGAATGAAAATAAGAATTGCACAAATTTTAACTATAGAAATATATTTTGTTTACTAAAACATTGTACATGTAAACTTAAACTCATCGTAACGTTACCGAGCGTTACACTTTTTCATAAGTGACTCCCAGCCGCAACCTAATTTAAGACGTTGTCACGTCAAAAATGGTTGCCTGTAAAGTCGGTTTTACGGGCGAAGATTTTACGTGACAACGTCTTTTTCTCGGTAGAATATTTATTGATATGAATATAATTAAATTGCACAATAGGAACAAGGAATTGAATGAAAATAAGAATTGCACAAATTTTAACTATAGAAATATATTTTGTTTACTAAAACATTGTACATGTAAACTTAAACTCATCGTAACGTTACCGAGCGTTACACTTTTTCATAAGTGACTCCCAGCCGCAACCTAATTTAAGACGTTGTCACGTCAAAATTTGACAATTACGATACTTTACTATACGACAATCATTTACAAGGGCCGTTTTGGATACACTCACAATCTGTAAAATGAAACTATGATTAAATATGTTAATTCATTTATTCGTCAATGGTAAGTGCACCAGTGTTGATGTCCACAATGAGGTCGTGTGGGGGCCTGCCCTCGACCGTGCAACCCACTGACTGCGCCGTGCCCAAGATCTCTTTGACAGAGCCAGAGAGGTGTCGCGCCATGGAACGCGGCTTCATCACCTTGGCTATTCCGATGACGTCCTCAAGAGTGATGTTACCACTGTGTTTTACTGGAAGCAATAAAAAGATACTGTTTAAATAAAAGAGCAAATGAGTATATATTCAAATGTTGGCTAGGTTGGTAATTAATTAGTGGTAGATGTGAAAGAATAACATAAAAATGCACATTTTAGATATGTATGAACTTGTGTAATGCAATCTCAAGACAATTTTGTTATATTTTTGATACCCACTTGTCAGTAATACCATGTAAGATTTTTTTATAAAAAATACCTGTGGTTACAATAGCTTTACTAACTATCTGTTGTATTGGTTAAATAAGAGAATTAAATTATTTTTGATGCACTCTGCTTGCTAGCAGCAAACAGTATTTTTGTCAAGTACATACAATAGAATTACAGTTATGACCAACAACATCCGTTAACATGAGAAACCAGTAGGAGGGACCAGCTTAGTTTAAACATGTTTATGTGATATGCTAACTGACTAACTAAAATAACTATGTCATGGAGTGCAGGTGTAGTGAGAGTATTTTTGCCATGAATATTTAATTTATAGCATTTGTAGGTCATTAAGGGCAGCTTAGTGGTGAATGGTCAGAGGGCAATATTGCACATGAAAATACATATTTGACATGAAAGTGTAATACTATACAAACAAGTTTTTAGGGTACTATATCCAAAGGGTAAAAATGGAAACCTATTCTATTACTAAGTCTGTCTGTCTGTCCCCAGGCTGTTTTAAAAGTAGCAGAATAATTCACAATAGTCTTTGATAAGTAACATTATTGTTAACAAATTTAAAGCTCTTAATATGAGATTCTTGCATTCACAATATTTTTTGATATTATATCCACCCTCCACCAGATTAGAAAATCTTGTTACACAATGGTATGCAACAAAATATTTTTGATTTTGATTTTTGATCTCCCATTATAACAAACTAAATATTTTAGACCATGAAACATTATAACCATGTGCTATAAAGTTAAATAGAAAATATACAAGCATTTGTAGAATTATTAAAATTAAAAAGAAATCTAAATTCAATATTTTTTATTCAGTCTTGGCTGTAACAAGCACTTGTGAGCTACGCAATCAGTTAGCAAATCTATGGAGGGAGACCTCATACTGAGAAGAACCGGCAAGAAACTCAGCAAGGGCTGTTTTTTTCTCCGTGTAATATATACAGTTGTCAAATTAAAAATCACTAAAGATGAGATAACTCATGAAGTTAATTTCCATTTAAATAATTAAAAATAAATTGCTTAGTATAAATATGAAGCAATACTCACTGTTTTTCTGCTTTTTGCGATCTCTAGGAGGTTCCTTGAGAGCTCTAATAATGAGTGCAGCTGCAGAAGGCACTACAGAGATTTGAGCCTGCCTATTTTGAACAATGAGTTGGACTGTGATCTTGAGACCCTTCCAGTCGCTAGTGGCCTTTGCAATGTCATCACCCACTTTCTTGGGAGACTAAAAGAAAAACGAATTAATGAGCACCTGACATAACAGTAGATCCAAGTTCATACTTACACCACAGCTTCTTCTTCTAACAAAAACAAGGACTCATCATCACTTGTTTAATTTCTCTAAACATTAAAGTAATAAAAATATTATTAAACAGCTTCACCAAAGGTTAAAACATCATTTCTGTTCAAATAACACCTATTTTTAATTTTTAAGAATTTCAAGACTACAATGTTGCTGGTTATTCTGAGATAGTTTAACCTTTGAGGCATTTGTTACTTACATTAATATCTCATTAAACAAAACTCAATTATGATAAGAACAAATATGTCATTTGGATACATAGGACCATACAATCTGAGTCGATCATTGAAGGTGTGTTAAACTGAAATATCAATGTAAGAGACAAATTGGCTTTATTCTCTAAAACTTAAACTCAGTTTGACAGCAATCTCCATTTCTTAATCTAGAAAACATTAATAATGATATTTACTGCTGTCAAATTTATTTTAGGTTTAGGGAATGAAATCAGATTATGAAGAAATTTTAAGTTTTGACTTATTTTTAACACGCGTGAGTCACATGGCCTGGTCCGCGACTCCTTATTGGACATTCGGAGTAGCCGCGACAGGGAAAGGATCCTGAGTCACGGGTTCCTTCCATCCGCCACCCGGAAGGACGCGCCTGGTAGGGAGGCACCCCCCAGGATCACTCAACTATCATAAAGAGGCAACCAACAAAGAAACTTACTACACGAAACTTCACAATAGGCAAGTATATTAGTAAAATTGTCCAAAGTTCTAGTTGCCTCTTCCAAATAGTACATAATTCATTCTAACCTCATGGTCATAAACTTCTATGGAGATTCTAGTATCAAGGTACTCACCAGACCAAGAGGACCAATTTTTGGGGCCAAAGATGATGTGGCACCGACTTCTCCACCCACACATCTTAGGTTTACTGCAATAATACAAGATAGTTAAAAATTACCGACACTAAATTTACAGTTTATTTTAACTGAACAGTTTATCCTTACCGATTTTAATTTCGTTAGGATCTAATTTAGGCGGCATTGTGAATGTGTATTAATATCAGTGCAATAACTAATAAATTAAAAACACTCCGATTAATACGGATTACGAATGAGATGGAATTTCACGTCCAACAAACGTCCATAACCAGCGGTGAAAAGAAAAAGGAGGTTGACAGATATGTCAATGTCAACTTGTCACCGTCACCAGTGTTGCCAACTCGGATTTTGAAAAAGACGTAGGCCCGATGAGAAAATTACGTAGAATCGGTAAATTTTGCATATGAAAAGTAAGTAGATCTACGTACTTTTTTTTGAGTGAAATGAAGAAGTTATTTGAAACCGAATAAAACGAGTATTTTGTTATACAATTTGTTTAAGAACGGGAGATAGAACAAAGAGTTCTTGGAGAAGTCGCTGCATAGGAAATTTGGAAGCATTTGCCATGCTGTGGTAAACATTTACCATCAGACACAGACACTGGTGGGTGCCGATTCTGGATGGTTCTATAAATTTAAAACTTAATTTAACATCAGTCTCTCCTTTTCATTCTGTATAGAGAATGACAAGGATAAACTGTTGTTAAATGGGCTAGTTGACACTTTTTGGAATTATGTTTTAAATTGTTAATAATTGTTCAATCAGAACGAATTTTTTTTTTTTTACCTAGAAGACATACAAAAACGCTCTTTAGTCTATAGACTTATCTATGCTATGACGTCAAAACATTTGTAAACAAACACTCGCAAGCAAGAAAATAAAAAAAATAAAAATAATATAATAATTTTTCGTAGGAAATAAACAGCTAAGTTAATATTATAAAACCATGATTTCTAATAGATCACATGAAAAATATAGTAGTTATCATGATACACTTGGTAAAAGACTCTAGAAAAGTTGTGGTTTAAATTGCCAAGAGAAAAAACATACTTACACATGAACATATGCTTAAAACTTGCTAAATCCTGTATCTTTATCGACTGAAAGTCTTTTCTTTTTGCAAAGATCAATTCGATGTGAGTATGTACTCATAGATAGTAGTAAAAGTTTAAAAATACAATTTTTAAGGTTATGAATGTACCTACAAGGTCAAAGAGTTTTGTCGTTTCTGCTTTCACAAATCCTGCGTATAGCTTTAATTTAGTCAACAAAACCAATAACGGGAACCTTTTCTACAAGATACAAGAGTGTTTAGATACATCTTTATAAGAAATAAACATTTGTATAGTTTTTAAGTAAAGTAACGGAAAATATTCTTCTTTATTCTAGTGAATTAAGTTATTTTACAAATTTGAAAAAAAATAAGAAAATACGTAGATTCTGGGACTGAAGTTAGTAGGTTTCCAAAAAAGGCCTAAAATACGTAGATCTACGTAAAAAGACGTAGAGTTGGCAACACTGACGTCAATACGTAATGGGCCTACCACACGCACGAGCTTCACCACAGTTTTGCCTGCGCAGGCTGGTTTGTACACGGAACACGATGCGTGTAGTTGGTAAAACTGTATCACGCGCCAACCCCACAGCGCAGCCTGCGCATTTTTCGACTTGCTTGAAATTTTGCCTGCGCAAGCCCGGCCTGCGCGTACTTGTCTGTGCGAGTGGTTGGGCATTCAGTGTTCAAGCCACAGTCGAGTGTAGTGTACTTTGTGTCGAGGCTCGCTCGCTCGCTTCATGAGGTCGTTCGTCATCGTCAGTCAAAAATGGCAGATTTGCGTACGTACAATCGCGAATTCACGTCTGAATTAATTAGTTTATACAAATCTCTGCCTGCTCTCTGGAAAATTAAATCTAAAGATTATTCCGACCCAAATAAAAAGAACGACGCCTACGAAAGAATGATAAATAAAATAAAAGAGGTAAGAACATAATTTTTGAAACTAAATACCTATGCCTAATACCTACCTACTTGCACATATAATGTACATATCCTATTGTTTTTACATGTTTTTTTTAATAGCAAACACTTGAAAAATAGTAGCATAAGAAATGTTTCCTCATTAGGAAACATTGTTTCAACGCCAATGATTTCGATAAGAATGAGGCTTGCGCGTACTTAACTGTGCCGTGTGGTAACGCACAAAGTGTACAGTTTTTTCGTGCGAGATGCTTACGCAGGCCAAACTGTGGTGAAGCTTGTGCGTGTAGTAAGCGCATAAGTCTGTGACGTCAACTCGAATGTCTGTTTTTTTTTTATGTTTTACGGCCGTGAAAATTGTACCTTTTAGCTAAAGCCAAAATTATATTAATGGTTCGTGTCGTAGCACGCCAGAAGCACATGGGATTCATACATTTATAGTTAGAGACATATATTAATGTGTCGTGTCGTGGCGACTCTCTATAATCTCTCCATAACCCATAAAAAATGTATGAAAAAACATCACGCTATGTTAATATGTTCCTGGCTTAACTCTCATGTTATCAGTTAGTGAGATTCGATCTGCCTGAATCGATTTTCTAGGATTTATCTTATCACGGCAATGAGACCGATTCTGGCGTTACATTCTCTAAACCTAAACTTAAAATTAGAGAGCTGATTTTAGTTTAAGTTAAGAGAATTGGTATTCTGAAATTGCAAATTAAATAATTAAAAACACAGTTGACTGCTGTAAACGGTGATTCCTGGGACCAACGTTCTTCGCATCAGATCCGTGGCTTTATTTTATATCATTATTAGAAAAAACTAAAATTGTATGGCTAAAGAGGGCTGAAAAACAAGTCATTCTGTAGATGAGGCACACACGTATGTATACCTTACAATAAACAAAATTATAAATAAAACGTCATTATAGCAGAAGTAATCAGAAGTTTTATTTTTTTGTTTTTTTTTTACATCCATTGCATATAAAATATTAAAAAACCAAAAAATAAACTACTTTGGTATTTGTTTAAATTCTTACGTTTAAACATAAGTCTTTACTGGTTAAGTACCCACGGCAATTAAAATCGAAAGAAAATGATTGAAGCTGTAAAAATTAGGCCTCCTGGTCTATTTCTACCACAGCGGCTAATGTATTACCTTGAGCGTAAAAAAAAATTCACTATAACATAGCAAGAGTCGCGCGTGTGACACGGAAAAATCTAGTGAAATTACCGCGTTTTTCAGTTTCAAAGGATATTTAACAAATTTCTTTAATTAAATATTATTTTTTATCAATGGGCCTCAACACTACAATAGTTAAGTAAAGTTTGGAGTGGTACTTTATTCAAGCTGGTCTATTACTCCAGTTAATATTTCAATGTGACCTTTAAAATCATGGGTCCCAGGAATCAAAACGAGCATCTAAATTTAATTCACAGAATATGTAAAAACATTGAACCGGTAATTATCGGTTTACTCAAATTACCTATAATTACTTAATATTCAGTGATTTTGACCTATTCCAGTAATTCTTCGATGTTCTCCATCTTGTCTGTGCGAGTGGTTGGGCATTCAGTGTTCAAGCCACAGTCGAGTGTAGTGTACTTTGTGTCGAGGCTCGCTCGCTCGCTTCATGAGGTCGTTCGTCATCGTCAGTCAAAAATGGCAGATTTGCGTACGTACAATCGCGAATTCACGTCTGAATTAATTAGTTTATACAAATCTCTGCCTGCTCTCTGGAAAATTAAATCTAAAGATTATTCCGACCCAAATAAAAAGAACGACGCCTACGAAAGAATGATAAATAAAATAAAAGAGGTAAGAACATAATTTTTGAAACTAAATACCTATGCCTAATACCTACCTACTTGCACATATAATGTACATATCCTATTGTTTTTACATGTTTTTTTTAATAGCAAACACTTGAAAAATAGTAGCATAAGAAATGTTTCCTCATTAGGAAACATTGTTTCCACGCCAATGATTTCGATAAGAATGAGGCTTGCGCGTACTTAACTGTGCCGTGTGGTAACGCACAAAGTGTACAGTTTTTTCGTGCGAGATGCTTACGCAGGCCAAACTGTGGTGAAGCTTGTGCGTGTAGTAAGCGCATAAGTCTGTGACGTCAACTCGAATGTCTGTTTTTTTTTTATGTTTTACGGCCGTGAAAATTGTACCTTTTAGCTAAAGCCAAAATTATATTAATGGTTCGTGTCGTAGCACGCCAGAAGCACATGGGATTCATACATTTATAGTTAGAGACATATATTAATGTGTCGTGTCGTGGCGACTCTCTATAATCTCTCCATAACCCATAAAAAATGTATGAAAAAACATCACGCTATGTTAATATGTTCCTGGCTTAACTCTCATGTTATCAGTTAGTGAGATTCGATCTGCCTGAATCGATTTTCTAGGATTTATCTTATCACGGCAATGAGACCGATTCTGGCGTTACATTCTCTAAACCTAAACTTAAAATTAGAGAGCTGATTTTAGTTTAAGTTAAGAGAATTGGTATTCTGAAATTGCAAATTAAATAATTAAAAACACAGTTGACTGCTGTAAACGGTGATTCCTGGGACCAACGTTCTTCGCATCAGATCCGTGGCTTTATTTTATATCATTATTAGAAAAAACTAAAATTGTATGGCTAAAGAGGGCTGAAAAACAAGTCATTCTGTAGATGAGGCACACACGTATGTATACCTTACAATAAACAAAATTATAAATAAAACGTCATTATAGCAGAAGTAATCAGAAGTTTTATTTTTTTGTTTTTTTTTTACATCCATTGCATATAAAATATTAAAAAACCAAAAAATAAACTACTTTGGTATTTGTTTAAATTCTTACGTTTAAACATAAGTCTTTACTGGTTAAGTACCCACGGCAATTAAAATCGAAAGAAAATGATTGAAGCTGTAAAAATTAGGCCTCCTGGTCTATTTCTACCACAGCGGCTAATCTCATCGAGATTAACCAGCTACGCAGGAGATATTATGTTGGTCCGCGCGGGATTCGAACCCACGACCTTCAGGTTGGGAGTCCTACGCTCTAACCGTTACACCACGGAGGCAGTGCAGCTATAATACTATGAGGTCAGATCCATGGTCGATAAATCAGATGCATGGCTTAAATCCACGGATCTTACGACCACGAATCTGACGATAATTCAAATATGAAGGTATTACTGTAAAACTATAAATAAAATCGTATTTATTTGTACTCCAGTGCCTACGCAGAGATATACGTATTATTAATCAAAGATCAGTTAAGTGAAACTATTCTTAATTTAACAGCAAAACGAGTCACGAGTTATACCTACCCCATTGGTC